TAAAAGAAAAAATAAAAATAATTTAAAAGAAAAATTTTAATAAATGAATTTCTTTAAAACATTAATTCTTCTTTGTAAATCATCAATTTCTTTTGGAGATAAATAAGGAAGTTGATTTCTTAATTTAAATTCTAATTGAGAAATTTCAGAAGGAATAAAATCGTCAGAATTTAATTGGTCAATTTTTTTCATAATATCAATATAAACAGAACCTAAAATAAATTCACCACATTTTGTTTTTCTTTTTTCTTTATCATTTGAATGAAGATATCCTTTTGCAACTTCATCAAATTCTCTCCAAGTACCAAAGTCTGAAGGCTTTAATCCATCAATATCTCTATTCTTATGAAATCTTTCATTAATAAATTTAATTAAACCTTCAATACTTCTCTCTGGATATACCCAAAAAGGTGATTTATTATTAAATGTAAACATTTCAAATTGTGGTAACATTGTTGCTTTTTGTTGTTTACATAATTTAGGATAAACTGAACAATCAACTCTTGCAATAACAAGATCTTTTTCATTTCCATAGTTTTTAGCTACTTTTTCAAGATATTTTGAATATTCTCTTCCAAATGGACACCAATAATCATAAAATAAAACTAATGCCTCTGAATTTGGATCTTGAAGAATTGTTTTATTAAATGTTTTATCAGTTAATAATGTAGTATATTGTATTTTTGATATATTAAATACTGTATTAATAAATTTGGATAATTCATTAACATTATGATCATCTGGGAATATTTGTATTCCTAATGGTCCTGTCGTATATGCTACATAAATGGGAAACCTTCTTTTAAATCCATGTTCATCACACCAATCAGCATTTTTAGTACAATCAAATTCTCCAAATGAAATATCTTCAAATTCTTCAAATGTATCTACAAGTCCTTCATATGCTGATTGTGTTTCTCTACATTCGTTTTCATACATTGGACAAAAACGAATTAAAATATCTGTTTGTGTAGTAACTTTCTCAAAAGTTTTTGGTGTAATTCTATATATTTCACTTCCAATACAAAATGAAATAAGGTATATAATAAATATCATACTTCTCTATTATTGATTTTTTAGTTTTTGTTTCTTTTATATCTTTAACTCATTTTCAGAACATTTCCTCTTTTCTTTTTTATTTTTGTTAAATGTTTTATTAAAACAAAATATTTTTATTATTTAAATATTTATGTTTTTTTTTCTTTTTAATGTTCTATTTTGTTAGTTAGTATTTTCTATTTTTATTCTTTTTTTTTAATTAAAAAAAAGTATTTGTATTTATTCTTTTCTCTTTTTCTTCTTTACTTTACTTTTTTTAATTTAATAAGATAATAAATACATATTATTGTTTATAATAAATTAATTCTTTTAAAAGTTATTACTTTACGGATTAATTTTTATTAAAATAAAATAACAATTTTATTATTAGTAAATAGTATTTAAAATAAAAAATAAATAAAATAAAAAATAAAAAAAGAAATAATAAAATAACCATCCGTTTTGTTTAAGAATTACAAAAACACCAATTTAATATGAGAAACTGAAATTTTATCATTAATTTGCTTAGAAACTGTTTTAAAAACAGTATAGACTGTAGGAGATAGTTCAGTTAATAAAATGAAGTTAGTGATATTATTAATTAAAGATTGATTAGATTCAGCCTTGGTTATTAAAGACTTTAAAGGTTTAATTAAAACTTTAGCCATTTCATTATTATAACGATCATTAAATTTAAATAAATTTTTTAAGAAGATAAATTGAGATAAACTAATTTGATCAACATTTTGAATGAAATAAGATAAAAAAGAAGTAGTTCTATCAGGATGTCCAATAAAAACAATTCTAATAAACTCTTCTAAGAAAAGAGTAGTAACTTCATAACGAGTAATTGAATATAAAAATTCAATGTCATTTAAAAACAAATCATTTTCTAAATGAACACATTGTTTAGTTGAAAGTTTTTTATTATTTTCACCAATATCACAATTAACATATAACGTATAAAAACATCTTAACATTGAAATTGCACAGTTATTTGGTAAAAATATACCACCTCTTCCTTTAATTATTTGAACAATATGATCAAATATATTTAATGTACTAATAACAAAATTCATTTCTTCAATACTATTAACTGCAAAATAATCAAATAAATCAACAACCATAATTGATGGTGATTGTTCAATACAACGTAAACATGTTTTAATAAAATTACCAATTGGACTTTTTAAATATTCATTACATTGACTAAATGAATGTTCTATTATTTGATGAAGAATATCAAAAGTTGCACTTCTTATTTCTGGACTTCTACAACGTGAATAAGCATCTAATACATTAACATCATCAAAATGTTTAATAATCCAATTATCATCTTTAGTTTTATCATATAATTCATGTAATAAAATATTCCATTTACTTGTTAAAGGTTGTCTTGGGAGTCTAAGATAAACAACATCAAAATAAAAGAAAATAAATCTTAAAGTTTGAATTGGTAAATAATGTGATGCTTGAATTGCAATGGTATAAATAAATTTTTGAAAAGGCTCTTCAAATAAAATTACTTCATTTTTAAATGTAAATGTTACTCTTTTATGATGGTCAATTTCTTTTGAACATTGTTTATAAACATAAATTGTTGATATATGTTTTTTAATACTTACTGTTCCAATTTTGTTTATTTCTCCTAATTTATATGAAAACCATGAATTTCCTATTTTAAATTGGGAACATTCTCCAATAACTCCAAATAATTGATATTCATAGCCTTTTTTATTATTACATTCTATTTTTGTTATTGTCATTGTATCATTTATTTCTTCTACTTCTGATAGTTCTACAAATATTATTGAACTTGTTTTATTTTTTATTGTTTCTATTAATGTTTTTATTTCTCCTTTAAAAAGTTCTATTTCTTCTTCATATTCACTTTCTTTTAATATTGAAATAATTGTCTTTATTATTGTAAATGGTTCTTTACATTCTTCTCCCTTTTCATGTAACATTAATTCCAATGATGAAATATCAATTGTTTGTTCTGGAATACTTTGAATATAAGTAATAACTGTTTGTATTTCTTTAATAATTTTCATATTTAACTCTGTTGATTGAAATATTTTTACCATAAATGTGGATGAAAAAACACTTGCTAATTGATACATAACAAATAAAATATTAATATTTCCTGTAAGTAAAGGAGGAATAACTAATAATTTTTGTCTAGTATGTAATGAAAAATAACGTGAAATATGAGTTATTAATGAACTTATAATACCTTCGTTTTCTGTTAATTCAATAATTAAATCATAACATAATCTTCGTGATTCAATACTTTTACAACGAGGAAAGTGATTTAAAGTTTCAATATCAGTCGTTAACGGGAATAAATAAGCATTAATAAATGGAATAAATTTAATAAAAAGATTATATTCTTGAAATAATTCAGGATATACTTCTGCAATAGAAATACATATTGTTAATAAACCATTTAATTGAATATTATTATTAATTAATGGATTAATAAATAACATAAATTGTTCAATAAATGATTTACATAAAGAATTAAATAATTCAGAATTACTACTATTTTTTTTATATCTTAAAAATAATTCAGATAATAATTTATAATAACCATAATTAATTGATGATGAAGAAATATTTTGAGAAAAACAATATTCACATAATCCAATAACCTTTTTCTTTTGTTGATCATTTTCAATAAACCAATCAAGAATACAATAAATATTAATAACATCTTCTTTTGATTTTGCTGAAATACAACTTTTAAAGAAACATTCATTAAAATAATTATAATTACAAAACATCATTCCAATATATAAAAAGAAATGAAGTAAACAATAAGTATAATAATGTGTTGTATCATTTGTTTCATTTTTTTGCTGCCATTGAAGTAATTGGTCTTTACAAAACTCTAATAATTTAATATTTAACTGTCTTTGCATTTCACTGCACCATCTATATTCACTTTGTTTTATAAGAGTATGCCAAATAATATGACATAGTTGTTCAATAATAACACCTCTAATTGTTGAAGATTCAACATTACTTTCTTGAATCATTTGACATGTTACACTTAGTAATTTCCAAAAATACCTTTCTACTGTCATTTCAACTGGTTCTCGTTCTTCTGCTAAACATTTAACAACAAATGCTAATGATGGTAATAAACTTCCATCTATTTTATTTTCACATAAACCATTTAATGATGTATCAATTTCACTTCCTTCTGCAATAAAATCAAATAACGCTTCCAATAACTGCCATCCTGAAAATGCTACAGTTTCATTGTTTGATCTAATAACTTCAGTTAATCTTTCAACTAAATTTTTATCAACGCATCTTACTCGTTTAATTACTTCTTCATAATATTCACTATAAATGACTGGTTGATATTCTCCAAATTTAATAATTACATCTTTTCCAATAACACTTTTTCCATCAGTTAATTCAACATCTTTACAAATTATTTTAATTCTTCCTGCTAATTCTTCTTCATCAATTGACTGAACAAAATCAAATGATTTAGGTACTTTTATTCTAATTTCATTTATTAATGACTTCATTTTTTTTGATAAAACAATTTTCATTCTTCCTACATTTTCAATTCCAACTTTTGTTAAAAATATCAATTTATTTGTTCTTTCAAAATTTTCTAATGTAATTTGTTGTTCTTCTAATAAATCTTTCATATTTTCATCTATTTTATTATTAATTACTTGAACACTTACTTTAAATTTATCACATCTCCATGATTCGTCATTAACTTCTTCTAAATAAACATTAACTATATTTTTTTCTGGTTGATCTCTTATTAATTCACTTGTTTTTTCAATAAATAAAATAAGTGTTTTAACTAAATAATTTGTATCAGTTGACGTACATAATGTTGTAAATGTATCAACAATATATGAACATAAAGTTGAAGGTACATTACAAAAGAATTTCGCCATAAAATTAACTATTGGAGTATATAATCTTTTATTTGCCATTGCAACTTCCCATAATAAATGAATTCCATATAATCCATTTCCTGATTTATCTATTACTTCTATTTTGTTATCAATAACAATTATTGATTTACACACTGTTTGATTATAATGAACTAACACTCTTTGTAAACAAATCATTCCACTTTCTGAATCTACAGAAGAAATATGTCCTTCAATAAATTTCATTAACATTACTATTACATCATGTGCTGGTGTTTTTCTTTCTTTTACAACTGTTTCATTTAACCATCTAAATAATGTATCTGCCATATCAAGTGAATCTGTCATTATAATACACAATTGTAATAATAATTGTGCTGGAATTGATAAATGAGTACTTTCAATATACATTCTAATATATTCTAATGCTGCATTTACCATTGGTCCTTCTCTATTTTCTATTGTTATTTCTTCTAAATATCCAATTACTTTTTTCATTCCAATAAAATCTCTATCGATTCCTGTTCCATCTCCTCTTACACTTAATGCACTTGTTAATAATTTTATTTGAATTAATGGTTCTTTCTCTCCTTTTATTAACTCTTTCATCATTTCATTCATCATATCTTCTAGTGCATGTGGTGTTAATAATTTAAGTATTTCATGAATTTCTTTCATCCAATAACTACTTTCTTTTGGATTATTACATCCTTGAATCCATCTTTGAACAACTCCTATTGTTCTTTCTTTAGCTGCATATTTTAATCCTATTTTAGCTGAAATACTAACAAATCGTGCTAATAATGGAACTAATGTTTCTACATGTCCTTTCCATTTACTCATAACTTTAAATATATTCTCTGCTTCTTCATTTTGCATAAATGGTGCTGCTGCTATTAAAAGTTCTCCAACTTGAATAAAACAATCTTTATCTATTGTGTTTTTTAATAATTCTAACATCAATCCTTCTTTTAATACTTTAATTTCTGACATAAAACTAACTGTAAGAATTGCCTCTTCATATACTTGTTTATTTGCTATATTTGAATTTAACATTTGTCCAATCATAAGAGAATTAGCTTTTAACCAATCTGATAATGACTTTTT